ATTATTCATTTTAACAAAAATCTGATCTCAGAATCTCAAATGACTATCATATCTAGTCATCATGTTAACGTTCAGCTTAGACAATCGCTAATTTTTTTAATGAAAACTGATGAGTTTGAAACATAATGAATAGTCGAATGATTATTTTTTAACTTTTAATAATCGATATACTTAATAAAGTAGCACCTTATAGTCAGGGATCATTTGTGTACTTTATCATATATTTATTGATGAATACCGAATAAAAAATTTACAACAATTTATATACCCTTTTGTCCCATTAAATTTGTCAACTGATGACATTTTTGGTCAAATTCTTTTATCTTTGACTCATTGTTATTTAAATTTTATTATCGATAAAAAATGAAAAATATTTTAAAAACCTTAACTCAAACAGTTTTCAATTATATTTTTTTATAAAATTTAATTTTTTAAATATTTAAAATAATTATAATCAAAATCTAAAAATTTAATTTATTAAAAATCAATAATAAATATATTTAATGAGACAGATGAAGTATAGTAATAATATAAATATTATACAAAATACAAGAATCAACGAAAGCATGCCTACTTGAAATTCTTCTCCTAAAGAGAAAAGAAAAGTAATTTGAACAGAATTTGGGACAGCATGAGAGAGATCTATTGGTGGACTTGGTTCCACCAACGAGAGATGAAGCCCTTGTGACATTGGAAGAACAAGACAATCTAGTACAGTTTCTAAAATTGTCCCTAAAGCTAACAAAAGTGGGTCCAAAAATTAACAACTGTCCAACACAAATGCTTTTTTTACAACATTAAAATAGGTTGATGAGTTGAATCACCTGAAAAACACATGCTTTTGGAAAAAAATAACGGCTTTGCCTGCTCTAAGAAGATATGCCCAGATCTCATGTATGACCTCTATAGTATATATGCTTATATCATTGCCCACTTCTTTATATTCCTTTGTTTAGCAACTACTCTCTTATTATAATCTAATTCCATTCTTAATAATTTGTCAATTTTAACATATTACCCCCACCCTCCCTTATTTTTTATTTTCTTTTAAATTTAAATAAATAAATGTAAATATGTCATAATTCATATATTATTTTAAAATTTAATTTACTTCGTAAGATTAAATTTTTTTATTATTTTTTTTAAATATCAACTTCTTTTATAATTTATATTTAATTTTATCAGTATTTGTTATTATAATAACTATTATAAAATAAAATAATTTTGAATGAAATAATCAAATTTTTTAAATAAAATAATATAAATATTTAATATTACAAAATTAAAATATACAAATTTGTTATACCTCCAAAAATGATAAATTGTCAATTCTTCATCGGTCAAAACTTTCAGATAAACAACTCAGCTCATCTGAGCCTTCAATAAATTCATTTTTTTGAGCATGAGTTATATAACCCATGAGTCAACTGTAATGCACAGATAAGATAATTCATCTAACAGATTCACGTGATTTACAAGAGTGGAATTCAAGATTTGATAGTTGAATCTAATTTAATCTATTAATATATCATAGTTATAATGATCATATGTCTGACACCATCAACTAAAATCAATGTAAATATCTTTCGACCACAACTAAGAAAGGCATTTGATCTCTTCCTTCTTTTTTTCTCTCATCTCTTTGAGCGACATTATTTGTTATCTTCTTACACTATCTTTTCCTTCATTCCTCTCACACACAAAATTAATGACTGTCATTTTTCATTGACTATGATTCTTTTTTAAGATCATAAGAGATGAATCATCAACTAGTAATATGTCTACTTATTTCTATCAACAAAACTAAATTATAAAATCTAAAACTATACGTATAACTTTAATATATTTAAACAAATAAAATACATTTGTTGGTGGAGAGGAGTGTACGTACAAGGAAGCTTCATCCAATGCTGAATAATCTCACTGCTACAGAAACTGCTATATATATTATAATGTTTAAATAATGTGATGGTTAAAATTGTCAAATCAGTCCAACAAATCATAATTGATTAAAAATAGAAGTGGAACTATTTTTTATGGTAAGCTTGGAGATCAGGTGGAGCATCATTAATTAATTACTTGATCAATCCACTGACAAGTTAGTTTGTTTAATTAAATAAAACATTAAATAAAAAAACATTTGGAAATTATGGGATTTAAGACAAAGTAAGGATTTGGGATATCTTGCAAAGTTGCAACCCCTTTCCTACCATGAAGATTGCGTCCCTTCTTTCTTTGACTTTTTGTAAATCAGAGATTAGTATAATGATAATTTTGAGAATGGAATATTTGTTTATGTTGTTTAAGTGCTACCCTAATTGATTTACAGGCCATAGAATTCATCGTTTGAAATATTAAAATAGTATAAACTACCTGTTTGGTCACTCACCTATTACTTAATTTCAATTTTGGTCACCAAACTATTATTTGTTTTCAAAATCATACCTAACATTATGTTTTGGTTCTATTTTGGTCACTCATTGTTCAAAAGATAACTGATTATATTGACTTGACATTTTTTTTATTTTTCAATGCTGACATGGAAGTACCTTATGATAACACATCATTATCACGATTAATTTTTTTAATGACGGATAATAAAAAAAATCAAAACTTTAAATTAAAAAAAAATAGTTTAGTGATCAAAATAAAATCAGGTAATAGGTGGATAATCAAATAGATCATTTATCCTAAAAACACACTAAAACCTTTTTGGTTGAGAAAGTTTGTAACACCCTAAACCAATACGACACACAGTCGACCGGTTAGAATGCCACACGGAACCACAAGAGTGATTAATCAATTTTTTTCTTTTAAAATAACCATTTGTAACCACTCATGCCAAAATAAATAAACTATAATTTAAATAAAATAGTTTACATTAGGAGCTCCCAGAATAATGTTTAAATCATACAGACCATAGTATAAAATGAGTTACAACTCATATAAAAATATAAAAATCGGGGTTTACAAATATACATGCCCTCTAAAGATGAACTTGAGACGTACTCTGCACTAGTTGGGTCTGGTTCACTGATGTCAAAAAGTCCTCGGACTGCTCCTCGACTAACCTGCGTAAGGAAACAAATTCCAAACACTAAGCTAACTAGCCTAGTGCCACACTAACAACTAAGCCATACTAAAAGTGTTTATGACATGCTCAAGCTATCAAGTCTACTACTATTTGTTTTACTATATGTTATGTTCTACTAGCCCACTAATTAATTGTTGGACCTTGCGCCCAAGCTAGTCTGGTTTAAAACTGTTTTAGTGAGTATTCTCAAATACTCACTCTTTATGCTATGGTAGACATCATGGTGCGGCTGAGGGTTCTGCATTTCGGAGCTCACACACCCCTCTAGTCTTCCCTGATATGGCTCCCGGAATTCTCTACATCGAAAACAATACCCCTGACTAACCCACCCTTTCTTTTAAAGAGTATTAAGGCCTCATCAAACATAGTTAGTTAGAAGGGCATCGACCCTACCTAAGGATATATCTAGACTAAATCTACAATTTCGATAATGCTAGCATTTTCTAAAGGAATTCGGGTGTCCTGGTCATTTGCCGAGTATCATCCAAGGCTATTTTTATGTCATCCTAATAAATCTTGTTTCTAACTGTAATTAATATCATTAATATTCTCACTTGTAGTCTTATTTGATGATAAAAAGAAGTGTTGGGGTACCTCGAGTCTAATTCCCTTAAAAACTGACATTTTTGCCTGAAGCATACTGAAAGTATCGATACTAACCCAAGAGTATTGATATTACTGCAAAAGTTTCGATACTTTATATAAGTGTCGATACTTTTAAACATTATGTTCTGCCTAGTTTCAAAACTTTATGGGAGTTTCGAAACTATGACCCAAAGTTTCGATACTCTTGAAAGAATACCGATACTTTTGCCTAGAAACTCATATAACACATACTAAATTGCTATAATTCAATCCCAAAGACCTTAGTGAGGTCCTCAAACATGCTTAAAGTTTTATTTGATCAACAAGGGTCATAATAGAGGCTATAAACACATTTAAAATTCTAAAACAAGAATTTCACCATGAAATGCTTATCATGCTCAACTCAACCATTTAAACTATTTTGAACTTCTAATGACCCACTAAGAGTATAGAAAAGTTGTACAAGTATTACCTTGCTTCTTGGATGCTAGAAACTTTCTCAACTCACTCAAGATTCAACTTTTCTTTTCCTTTAGCTCTTGAGCTTTCTCATATCTCCTTCACTTAACAAAATGAGAAAATAGATTACCAATCCATCTAGGGGTTGAATAACATCTAAACAAACTCCCTATAATTCAAAACTTAGCTAGAATCCATATATTCCCATAAAACTCTCAAGATCCAGTTTTGGTTCTATGGATAAAAACTAGTGAAAGGGAGCTCAAAATGAAGCTAGAAGGATGAGGTTTAATAATCTTACCTTGGAAGGATCCAACTAGGCTTGAATTTCTTTGAAAGTCTTACTTAAAGAAGATAGAAGAAGAGAGAAAGATGAGAAGATAGGAAAAGTGTTTGGTGAGTTGTGTAAGGGGTTGTTCATGGTGAAAACATAATATAAGGATGGATTTTCAACTTCCAAAATATATGAGTAAACTACACTTTTAGCCCCTTTACTTTTATTTCATAATTTACTCATTACCCTTCATTAACTCTCTTAGGCCCTAACTCAAGCCCAATAACAACAACTTGGCCCAACTAATATAATATAGGTCCAATAGCACAACTTTGGGCTTCGGGTTGACCCGAACTACTAACCCGGGATTCGGGGCGTTACAAAGTTTGAAGTATATCTACTACAAAAATGACAACTTTATTTTATTTTATTATTTAACCAATAGGAAAAGTTTTCAATATTATTGAATTAGACAGCTGACTTTTCTTTTATTTTGATTTATTTTCATATTGACGCATGTTCATGATTATTATAAAACTATTCATTGAATTCCTGGAAACCTTAGAGATGGGAGTATTACTATATAAAGGTGCACAAACCAAAACAATTCATAGTCATAGGCTCTTTTGATACACAAGAGAGATGGAGAATTATTCATGTGATGCCGAAAATGGTGAGAAAAAGCTTAGGTTATTCGGGTTCGAGTTTGATCCGAGTGCTAACAGCTGTTTCACCGTGAAAGTTTCCGAAGGCGACGAGAGTGTGAATTCGTCGACCACAACAGCCAAGGAGAAAAGCTCGACGACAGCGGAGGCCGACGATAGGAAATTCGAGTGCTTGTATTGTTTCAAGGAATTTGCAAACTCGCAGGCACTTGGGGGTCATCAGAATGCGCACAAAAAAGAGAGGATGAAGAAGAAAAGGTTGCAGCTTCAAGCCAAGAGAGCCAGCCTCAACTGTTATCTTCAACCTTTTCAAAACAGTCTCGGTTTCGGCTCTCCGCCGTGGCACTACAGTACCGCTGCCGAAGAATCGCAGATAAGTTTCGGACAATTGGAGTATGATGTGTATGTTAATGGCTCGAATCCATCGAAATGGCACGCTCAAATGATCCCTTTCCAACAAGATTCATCCATGTTCACGTTAATACAAGCTGATCATCACAGATCGAGGGAAAACAGGCCTGTTTTCAAGCCTTCGTCCAAGCAAAACTGTAAATCATTGGATCTTCAATTAGGCCTCAGCTTGCAGTCTACGATACAGAGTTCCTCTGGAAGTGGTATATTGAACCATACACATAGGGCACGGAGAACGTACATACACAACGGAGTGCGAGGCGTCGCGCCCTTATCAAATACGTATCCGACACAAGCAAGATGTGTATCCGGTAGTGCTGGATAAGACATCAAGAAAGGAACATATACGGTAAACTGGTAAACATACGTTTGGAGACAAATGAAACATGTCTCAGAGGACTGAATATAGAATCAATGTCGCTTCTTTTCTGTATTTTTTTTCCTCCTATCTGATATCAACAATCCAAATCTTGGGAAATATGAATACTTTCGTTTGATTGAATTTTGAAAAAACAATAGATTTTAAGAAGAAATTAATTATATTGAATAAAAAGTATTTATATAATTATATTTACGTTTTTATGAAATATATATTATAAAAATATAAGCTCATGCCTTGCATGGATTGTATTTTTTTTATAAAATATCGTATCGACATTTTCCTAATAAAAAATATATTATTGGTACATAAGTTTGAGGCGGAACCCTAATACTTCAAATTTTATTCTCCTATAAGCAAAGTAGCTAGGGTTATTTTTTTTTAATTTTATTTATTTACTTTATGAATATCACCTAATAAAAAATTAGCTTTCTATTTTTTAATTACTATATTATTTATTACTTTGAGTACTAATTGTCAATATCAACAACTAGCACATTTGTTTAGAAAGAAGAAATTGGATAATAGTAAAATTTTCCAGAGAATTATTAGACTGTTAATTAATATTCTTTGGGGGTCTGGCGTAGTTAATTTCCAATAACTGGTACCAGTTGTCGATAGATTCAACAACAGATTGTCTTCAATTATATGCTGGTCTTTGTTAATTAGGAATGACTGAGCCTTCAGCTGATCAAGCAAGTTTATATTTAGAGTTTATCCAGTTAATTGATGCAAAATTCAAATTTATCGTTAACTAGATGACAACTTATCCATTACGTGTAGAATTTGTTCTATCATGAAGTGACTTGTCTCCTATTTCTTAGGATAACAAGTTAGATTTATACTCATTTTCTTTTAATACAGTTTCGTTTTTATCCGTTAATTTTTAGGGTTAACTACAATATTGATTATTTGTATGTGTTTTGTCCACTTTTCTTTATTAATTTTAAAAAATATAATATATGATCATTTTTCGTTTTTATTTAATTAAGATATAATCACATTAAGTTAATTGTTGTTGACAACAGTTAAATATTTTGATATAATCATACATTTGATATATGTTATTTACATATTCTTTCAATTTACTCCCACTTTTGATAAATTAAAATAAATTTAACCCTCCAATCAAATGATACCACATGCCACTGGTTTCATTGATGGACCAAGTGGGGGGCGGGTAGAGGCAGTCGCCCCACTTGAAAATTGAAATTATCATATATTTTATATTTTTTTTTATGTATTTTCTATTAGAAATCTGTTTTTACCCCCTAAATTTTAGTTCGCCCTCTAACATAAAATCATGCGTCCGTCTCTGAATGGTGTCACGTGTCATGCCACATGTCAGCATTCGATTGGAGGACTAACTTTATTTGAATTTAATTTAATGTATTTATTAAAGTAATTTTATATTAACTTATTAAATATATTTTATTAAAATAAAGTTAGTCCTCCAATGGAATTATGAAACATGACACCAATGACACATGACACCATTCGATTGGAGGATTTATTTATTTTAATTTATTAAAAATGTGACTAAATTAAGAGAATGTGTAAATAATAAACACCAAATGTGTGATTATATCAAAATATTACGTCACCTAATTTGTTAACTGCTAATGGTAGTTAACCCTGTGACGACCACATCTTAATTAAATAAAAACGAAAGTGATCGTATCTTAATTAAATAAAAACAAAAGTGACCGTATATTATATTTTTTGAAATTAGTGAGAAAATGAACAAAACAAAAACATAAGTAATCAATTATGTAATTAATCCTAATTTTTAATATGCTTGATGCTTTATTCGCATAAGTATGATTACAACGTTTTATGGCTTTGTTGGGACTTCACTCGAATTTTCAAAACATTTGCTTCTTAATAATAACTAATGCTTTATCATGCCAACCATCTATATGTTATCTATATGTGCTACCTATATACAGTGAATTTATAAATATTTATGAGGATAGTGAACAATTTTTACAACTGATAATTAAAAACTTTTAATTGATATTTTTTCCTATTTTTAGATTATGAATTTAATCTCTATTAAGACTAAAATTTTATAACTTTCCCTGAGATAAGAATTATTTTAAAAAATATTTATAAAAATGAATATATATATTAACAATATAGAATTTATTAAAACACAAATAAAATTTAAATTTATGTACACAATTAACAATTTAAGGTGAACACAATTAATTCTATTTCTCTAACTAATTTTAGACTATCCTCTTTTTTATATTCTTTCAAAAGAATTATTTCTCTAATCTTAATGTATTATTACATAGTTATAAGGATATAAATATTATTTTTCATCATGTTTTAATATGGTTAAAAATAATTTTTTAAAATTTTGACGTTTCATATTATTTGGTTTGAAAACTTATTTTAAAGAAATCTTATCGGTTAATTGAATTTTTACGTGTGTTGTTAATTTTAATTTTATATTAATTAAATCATTTTAATTTTATTGTTTTTCTTTTAATTCAAACAAATATATCGGTTAATTGAATTTTATTGTTTTATTTTAAAGAAATTATCATTACTAGTTTACTGTTATTCTCTAACGTGATCCAATAAAAATAAATATCATGTGATTGTAATAAGAAATTGTCGCATGCTAAAAAAATTGATGTTTATATTTTTAAAAAGTTATTTCCCAAGCTACGTTGTTAGAATACAAATAATATCAGCAGTCCAAGTAAATATAATAATATTAGTAACGTGAAAGAGATTGGTATATAATTGTATACTCCACCCATTAATAAATAATTTAATTGATTAAAATAAGGCCGTGATATGCTAACCTTTGTTAGCTTGCTTATATAAATAATTAAATTGTCACATTACAAACATCATTTCCATATAATTTGGCCAAGAAAAATTTCCATAGGTATTCTATATAGTACGTTAGATATATGCCTATATCCATAGGTATTCTATATAGTATGCAATCCGTTACTTAAATAAATTCTCATGGGATATAAAATTTATAATACCAACAAAAAATGTATTCCTTCAAAAGTTTTGAATATGTTTGCGTGTGGATATACTCAAAGGTTGGATTTGCTCGAGTTATGATTAGATGTTAAGTCTAATCATTGATTAAATGGGAAAACTGATGTGGTATGATATAATACTTTTTAGTCCTCATACCTATACATCCTACTAAATTGATCTTAATTTAAAATAGAGAAAATAACCTCATTGACCAAAAATGATTTATAATATATAATACAAACTTCGACTATCGCAATGCGAATACGTAAATCGCAATGCGATAGTCGACTATCGCAACGAATTTGGAATAAATCGAAACGCGAACTTCGACTATCGCAACGAATTTGGAATAAATCGCAACGCGAACTTCGACTATCGCAATGCGAATATGTAAATCTCAATGCGATAGTCGCGCGGACGTGTCGAAGACACGTATTACCACGACCACGACCACGACCCGTCCCGACCCGAGACGAGACAGATGGCGGCGGCGGCGGCACGCGAGAGTCTCCCTTGTTCTCTATCACTCAACAAGGAAGTGGGAAAGTCAAGCCTTAAATACCATTCCTAATAGTGTTTCCAATACTATATGGGATTGAACATTACCAACATTTGTTTCCAATAAAATGTGATTATTCAGGAAACAATTAACAATCATGCACCTTAAAACAATTGAATCAGCAACCAATTGCATTAGTATTATACGATTAAATATGTCATAATTAAAAGTCAATCTACAATCAATCGTGATTATTGCAATTTTAAGCAAAACATTCAAAAATAATATCACTATTTAAGGCTCAATCCCACATAGTATTGGGAACAAGTGTTGGTAATGCTCAATCCCACATAGTATTGGAAACACTATTGGGAATGGTATTTAAGGCTTGGCTTTCCCACTTCATTGTTGAGTGATAAAGAACAAAGAGGACTCTCGCGCGTCGCCGCCGTCGCCGTCCGTCTCGTCTCGGGTCGGGTCGGGTCGGGTCGGGTCGTGGTCGTGGTCGTGGTCGTGGTCGTGGTCGTGGTCGTGGTAATACATGTCTTCGACACGTCCGCACGAATACTGTTAACTTCCTAAAAAGGCTACTTTTAAAACCTTTTTCACTTAAGTTATTGTTTGTTTAAAAGCTCATTTTAGTCATTTTAGGATCATGTAGTTGTATTTGTGGTGGTTGTGCTATTTTATTTCTTAATGGTGTTGTTTGAGGGAAAGGTGCAGTTTGTCTATGGTGTGCAGGGAATAGCAAGAAAAAGGATTCTTTGGGAAGTAATGCCACGGCATCACACGTTGCTAAAGCAGATTGAAATGCCTTGGCATTTCTGGCGCAGAAAAAGACAAAAAGATATTTCTGCATAAGGACAGCTGGCACTGGACAGCTGTCTCTGCACGTGAAGGACTGCTGTAACCGCCTGCCAGAGCTGCCAATAGACCACTGCCACTTGGAGGATAAGGTTCATGCACAACATGTGATTATAGGGGTATGAGGGGTATTTTGCACCCAACAACCTCATCATTACCCCTAGATATTTTTATTATATATGACACCTCATGGGAGAGAAGGAAAAAACGGACGGAAAGCACACATATAGAGCAGAAAAATCACATTTTTATTTTTCTCTTTTCCTTTCTTCTTCCTTGGGATATTCCTCCATTGATAAAGCTCCAAGGAGTGGCAAGCTAGGCGCCGGAAGGAGCTAGCGAGCTAGGTGGTTCGTGGTGGCCGAGAGGAGACCTCCGGTGGTGCGTCGAAGGCTTCTTCTCACTTCCCTTTTGCTTCTATTTTTCTATTAATTTGTGGGTTGTTGGAACGAATATTTTCATGACTTTGTGTTTGGATATTTCGAACCCCACCATGAACTAACTTATTTGGTGGTGGTTGGTTGAACGATTGTTTAAACTTTATTTTTTAGGGTATATTTAAGTTTATTTTGGGTTCTTTATTTGCTTTGCTTATGAATGCTTCACCATCTAGGCTTGTAAGAGGCATGGAAATGTCCATCTCTTAGATAAAGGTTAGGTATTCGGAAGAATCCTAAGCTAAAAATACTTGTAAGAATTCGAAAGAAACGCAA